TGAAGATATTGTTAAAAAGAAAACAAATTTAACATCAGAAGAATGTACTGAATTTGGTGAAAAACTAGGTCTTTCATTATGATACTCTTGATCAGAATTAAAACAAAATTTGAGTATTTTAGAAATACCTGATTCTTTTGATGAATATTACAATGCATTTCCTCCTTGTTTGTCAAATTTTTTCACTAGCTTATTTACAGTTATTGAAAAGAAAAAATATATAATTTTATAATGAAAACAAAAGCAATGTGAATATCAACTTAAGTCTTATGATATTTCAAAAATTTCAAAAATGACAGCTTTTTTTGTATCAATTATTCTTAATATTACTTTTCATAGATGGAAAATTTGGCTTACTACTATAATGGCTTCACTTTGTAAAAAATCTAAACTTTTATCATCATTACAATCAATTTTAAGAATGGTTTATATTATATCTCATTCACAATGTTATGAATAATATTTTGAGAAATAATAAATACAAGTAACACATCCAGAGCAAAGATTAATTCAGGAAACAAATATATAGAATCTTGTAGTAATAAATAATATTGATTTTAAAGAAAAAAATTTTGCATATGGTAATATTTTTGATGTAATACAAAAAAATTCACATGTTATATTAAGAATGGTATTTTAATTTAAGCTATCAACTTATAATATCACAGAAAATTCAGATAAAATAATAGTAAAATGAGCTTTATTTGGTACTTCCTCTTTTACAGATAATTTTAAACAAAAAATTGATAATATTTTTTGTGAACTTCTTGATTCAGCTATTAAATTTGATATACAAAATATAAATCAAGAAATAATGAAAGAAATTAAACTTGGATATCAAATTACATCACCAAATATTGTTATTCTTAAGGCTGGACCTGCACCAAATTCTAATACAAATGTTCATGATGCTTGTAAACAATATTTTGATAATGTTGGACTTACAAATAGATTTTTAGATATAGCATGTGATGGTGTTATATTTCAAAGACTTATTTCTTTATATGAAATACATTCAGAAATATGAATTATTCTTGGTCAATGGTATATAAATAAAGATATGTATGTAGCATTAATTGCAGCCTTTTCTGGATATGGAATTTTTATATTAGCTACTGAACTTGGTATTTAATTTTTGGATAAATTAGAAGTTATAATTGATTATTGTACTATATGCCATGTTCTTGAATTACTTTAAGCTGCTATAGGAATTTCTATTCATATATATTATAAATAGAATAATATAAAAATTGAGAATATACTTGAAGGAAAAAATAATGCATTAAAAGTTTGGTTTTTATATTATCGATGGGCAGGATTTTGGAAAGATCATAAAATTGGAATTTGTACAGGAAATTTTGATATGCAATTTGAGAATCTTGCTGCTTTTGTACCTCTTTTTCCTGTTGCAGGAAAGGCAAATTATGCAACTTTAGTAGCTCATTTTCTTGTCTATATTAATGATGATTCTTCTTTAAAAACAATTCTTCAACAAGTTTGTTCTGTTAATTTAACAAAAAAAGATCATTATCTTGCTTTTGATGAAGTATTAGAGACTTTTGGTATGAAATTTATTAAGCAAAATATTGAAGGAAATCTAATAGATCAAGAAAATCTATTACTTCAAATACAATCTGCTCAAACAGAATGAGAAAGATTAGATATATTACTTTTAGAATTTCTTGGTGATCCTGTTTATAGTAAAGAAAATTATGAAATTAATAATTGAAAAGAAGCTTTATGATCATTGGCAATGCAACTTGTTGAAGTATTTTCATTAAAGGATCCTACAACACATACACTTTTTAAATATAGTCATGAAATGACTATATCTGGTTATCAAAAAATATTTACTTGTTATGAAACTGGAATTACTCATCTTATTTCAATTTTAGAAGATGTTTATAAAACTAAACCACAAAATACAACTGGAAGACAAACACCAACTCTTCAACATTATAAATATTCAAGCTTATCAACTTTTATTAAACAAGAAAAGAAAAATAAAAAAAAAGAACTTTCAAAAATTTCATCTGAATTAAAACACAAAAGACGTATAATAACAGAATCAGAAAAAGTAATATTAATGTGAATATTTACATCTGAACAACAAAATATTTTATCTAATGAAACAATTAAAAAGGTAATGAAAGAACTAGACTGGGATGAAAATAGAATTAAAATATACTGGAAAAATCATTATCAAAAATCCAAGTAGATATTAATATTTTTAGAATTCAATTTTATTTTTAATTTTATATTATTTAAATCATTCAATTTTTAGATATTACTTTATATATTTTGATATATTAGATAAAAGAAAATAATAGATTTTATTACTGAGGCTATTATTTCAGTGACTAAAATTTTTAATAAATTATAATATTAATTTATTTATTTTATGAAAATATAATTAAAGATCAGGATAAAATTAGATTTAAATTTTTTACAGGAAAGGTGCTTATTATCAGAGCAGTTTGGTATATAATTTTTTGATAACTATTATATACTATGATTGTTAAGTCTTTTATTCAAGAAAATCAAAATTAAATTCTTTATTTATTAAAGATATATAATCTACATTGTCATTATTAACAGAAGAGTCAATATAAAATGTCGAATTTCATATTATAATGACATATATTCATTTGTATTTTTAATGTTAACGTTAATGTAAAAAATAATCTTGTATAACAGTAATATTATCGTTATAAAAATTAGTTACATTCAAATTAAGATTTTCATAACAGTTTTAGTCTGTTAAGAAAAAAAACATATATTTCTAATAAATAAAAGGTTTATAATGAAAATTTATTAATAAAAAGCATCTTCTTTTATTTAAATATAATATACTTGTTATAAGAGTAAAGTAATTTTTCTTGTATTTTATCTATAGAAAAATTTGATCGTCATACAACATCTCTATAATAAATGGATTTGCCTCAATTTTAGCGTGACATGTACACTGACCGTTAATAGTTTTGGCGTAATCTCATTTTAAAAGGTAATGATCTGTAATCTTAAATCAGGTGGTCGGAGACTTTTGACCGGGGAGTGTAACTTGATTTGATGGATTCTCAGGAAGAATTGGATGAAGGAATAGTATCACAAAGAAAGAAGACTTTTTTGCGAATTACTAATTGCTAATGGAAGAGGTGTAAAATGTGAAATGCTAAATAACAATATTCTCTTCATTCAATTTTCAAAAGATCTCTATGTTGAAATTTAGCGACATAATTTAATTAAAGTGATTCAGCACAATTCTATAAAGAGCTACCAGACAAGCAATACAAAGTTTCTTGGTGGTTTGAAGATGAATTAAAAAGTATAAATGAATACTGTTACCATTACTCAGATAAAATCTCTAATTTTCAAAATTATGGCAGGATCGACCGACCGTGTTGTGACTTAACACGATCGCTCATATTTTTCAGCACATCTTTCAACACAATTCTTTCTTTAGTTATATTTGTTATCATTTTATCATTAAGTTGTCACATTTTCATCGATATAATAAGAATTATATAATGATAAATAGATTTAATGTAATATAAAAATTGTATATAAGGGATGACTTTCGGGCCTTCAATTAAAAACAGAAATAAACTTGCATACAATCTTCAAGTAATAAAACACTTGCTAAAACTTTTCGTAAAGGTATTTGTAATTACAATCGTAATCGTATTGGTTAGGTTCTTTGTGTCAGAAAAAACATCATATTGGTTAGGTCCTTTGAAAAGGCAAACTCATCATTGGGATTTATTGATTGATTTGAATAATTAGAGTTTAAAGCTTTTAAGTAGAATTGGAATTAGGATGCATAATTCCCTTTCCCATCTCTTTCTTTCTTTCTTTTCGAAATATCTTACAAAACACGAACTTCTATTTCTCCAATTCCCACATCTCAAATTAACCCAAATTCTACCATTCACGTGCATTCTTTCCTTGAATCCCATACATAGAACGATATCCGTAGATATCGGCACAAGAGTTAAATTTATTAAGCATAATTAGTCTAATCATTCTCATCCAACACTTGTAACAGACAAAATTCATTAAATCGTCACAAATACACTTTTCCTGTGACAATATATTTACTGATTATCTTTTAGATAAGCCCGGGCCAAATTTTCATTATGATGCGAGTTTGGAGAAGCGATTGAGCTCAACAACGCAATGAGAACAAATTATGCTGTCACTCTTTGTGATCTATAATACATGTATTTTAGTGTTGCCGTCACAACGAAAAATCCCATGATTACGAAAAGTCCCCTGGTTACAAAATTCTGGACCGACTCAAGAATCTTATTTATTCTTAATAGTAATATGTTACGAAGAATATTAAAAATCACGCAAAGAATACCTTAACATCTAACAAACATCTACAAGGAGTTATTCAAGTTCAAAATTTTCTAATGCTAGCTAGATGTTCTTATAGAGAGGCTGTTCTTAAATCGAGCAAGTAAAACATAATCTTAATTCTTGCTATCGAAATGATATTAATATATTAAATGTATTGATTCAGTTACTAAAAAGGATAATCACAACCTCTTTATTTCACATTTTTTGCTGTTTCCGAAGGTATAATTATGTGGAGGTATGTATGGCTATATATTAATTGTCATGAAATGAATACGTAATCATATACATTTTAGAAAATATAGATGATCTAGTTCTATACCAACAAAAGGATACAAAAATTTACTACGGAGAATGAAGTTATTATAATTTAAAAAGACACCGAATTTTATTAATAGTTAGCTTGGTATATTTCGATTTTGTTTAAAAACGTTAGATAATTAAACTTCGCAATTACATGTGCAAATTTTAGAAAAAGAAAATTATAGCCAGAACATAAATGAATTTTATTATAATTTATACTCGAGTCTTTGTGTAAATGATATTTTTTGTTTCTTAATTTATAGCAGATATTTCGCTCAGCAAAATAAGGCACTACATATATTCACTCTTCCACATAAGAATTAAACTAATAAATATTCCTAAAAACCCATGCCAACAATCATAACCAACCCAACCACAAAATTCCTCAAAAGTGTAAAAATATTAATTCTTGCAGCATTCGAGGGTGTGCTGCCTACATTATCAATATTCTGAGTAGGAGAAGTAAGAGCAGCTGGTTGGTTTGCACCGACCGTAAAGTCGATGGCGCTTGTTGCGGTTCCTCTATAAAATATGATAAAGTTAGGGAGATCAGTTTTATCATAGTTTGTTCCAATATCGTGTAATACAGAGAAACAATAAAAGTAAAAAATATCTTACATCATTTGCGTCGGTGTCATTGTTGTGCTATACAAGTAATAGTAGTTAATAATCAAGTCAAATGTAACAATGTAAAGGTAACAAAAAATTTATATATAAAACGAGTTTTTGATCTTTCGACGAGAAAAAGATTTCATTTTCTGGAATCATTTGAAGAATTTTCATTACTTGTAGTATTGTTGCTTTTACTTTTATTACTGTTGTTGTTGTTGCTGTTCTTGTTATTGTTAATGTTATGGCTATTGATATTAGTTACTATTAGTACCATTACCTTGTATTACTTGAACTTGTAGCTATGATTGTGGCTATTGTAGAACTAGCTGTAGAGGTCATAGAAGAGATAGGTGTTATAGGTTCACTTTTTAAATACAAATAGTCAAATTGATAAATTAAATATTGCAAAATAAAGTTATTTCAAAAAAAAAGAATAACAAATGAAATCTGACGTTTCCTGTTTTTCAGCAATAGTCTTTACGATCGAAAACGCGAAATATGATAGCAATATGAATCTGTAAATTATTTTCATTTTCTTTTACTAAAAAAATAATTTATTTTTAGTCGATTTGGATTATTTTCAACGATAAAAAAATAAAAATCGAATATTTGAAACGACACAAAAAAGACGAAGCTATATACTGTACATGTATAAATAAATCTTCCTGAACAAATTTCATATCAATAATGGTGTATCGGATAACTTCTTCGTTGCCATATACAATAGAATTTTCTATGCATATTTGTGTGTAAAGTTAGAACTTAGGTAACTTTCGGCAAAAGCTCATTGATCATCTTGAAAATAGAAAACTTCAAGTTTGAAAAATGAAACTTTTCCTTTGAAAATCGATAAAAGAAAAAGTGCCACCAGAAAAGGTTAATGATCTACAATTATCAGCATTTATATTATCAAAGAATTAACTTGTACATATCCGTTCCATATAAAATCCGTCATAATTACTTTTTAAAGTAGACTATTTAGAACTGCGATAGAACTGCGACTATTGTAACCTATATTAGTACAAGAACAGATGTCATAATTAATTTGTGTTCAGTAGGGACATTTATTATGTGGTGCAAACAGTAGATAGTATTTATTGGAAACTAAATTTAAATTGAAACATTAATAAATCTGAAAACGATGATGTATTTCTTATATTTACTAATACTTTCACTACTAATAAATAAATCACTAACAGCGCAAGCCTACAACATTTACAATTTCAATGAGACCTCCCCGGGATTGATAACACAAGAAGGCAGCGGTCAACACTTTGACGACTTTTCATTTTTTTTTTGGCTAGCAAAACAAAATCCAAATGACACTACTTGTATAGAGCCACAACTATATTTCCGAATAATCCATCCAGACTTAAATATCACACGAATAAATGTTGACTTGCCGTTGGATATGCAATCTTTGATGTGTGAAATGTGGGGTACGAGTAATCAATATTTTGGTAGAGTTATGAAACCGCCGTATTTTCTGGTATCTTATGTTAATGTAACAAAAAGAATTGGTACGGATAACGATTATGATTATTATCGTGCCGGATTGCTGATGGATTGGGATGGAAACTTCAGGGAGTGAGTGATTTTTTTTTTGATTTATTTTACTTTTCTGTAAAATAGAATATTTGAATTGATTTTTCTTTTTATAGTTTCATTCAGATGACTCCTGTACAGGATTTTCCTAGTACGGGGTTAATAATTCATAATGTTAATCCCAAAAATGGATTCCTTTGGTTATATAGCGCATCAAGAAATAATACACTCGGGTGGACAAAATATAGCACTGTGTAATTAATTTAAAAAAATTTCCTTCTGTTCTGTTAGTATTGTTAATTAAATTTCTCATGGATTTAAAACATGCAGCCATGAAAATGGGACGATTACAAAATTGTCAAATGGAACTTTTTCAACCACAACAAGCTCAGCATTTCCATTTGCAATGGTAGACGGAGGCTACGGCTTAGCATATACAATAAACAAAACAAGCGAAACACAGCCACATAAAAATAATATTTCCGACGCTCTGTACGCAAACTGGGAAGCTTACGTAACATTCTTACGACCGGACGCTGAAGAATTAATGCAACCCTTTCTTCTATACGAAACAACAGAGCAACTAAGTGGATTAACTATTTATTCTTGTAACACGCCATATGATGCTGACGGATATAAGTGTCTGCTGAAATTAGAAATGATCTTTGGCAATAGTACACAGATTCTGTTTAAGCAAGTGTGGTTCTTGACTAGTGGATCAGTGTATAAAATTGAAGATGTACCATTAGCGAATCCTAATTATGAAGTTAACGATATTTCGACTCTTTTTTATGGTGGATTTTTGATGACTATTTATAATAAGAAGGGAACAGATAATAGCAGTGTTACTGGATTTATTTATGATTCGGCGGGGAATCATAATGGAACATGGGATATTCCGGACAATGTGCGTGTGTCGGATGCTTATGATATATTACCGAATAACACTTTATGGGGTGTTTCTACAGTTACAAATACAACTCTTAGTATTGTAACCACTAGTTTAACGAGATTTAGCTCTGGTGAATATTTACTCTTTCTACTACTCTT